GGCTCAGTAAGCCAGTGCCAGGAGCAGAGTCCAAATACAACATGCAAGACACACACGCACAAATTTTTTTCTCCTACCATATATTACCCATTTATTTAATGCCTGATTATGATTTTATCCATTTATTTTTTATGATAAAAAGTATAAAACTACCTGACCTTACTTTAACTGTTTTACAAATCTATATGTTCACAAAGCAATTTACAGTCTGTTGCAGAGAGCCATAACATAGTGGCATTTCACACTTTATATACATTACCTGCTTGGGATTTTTTTTCCCCCTAGATACAGGAAGGGGGGGGGGGGGGGAAATCTTACCCCTGCACAGTAGTCCCCACTAATTGAAACTCTCTGAAATTCTGGTACATCATATGGCATTTGGACTGGCAGAAAAGCAGTTGGAAGAACTGGTGTTGCAGGAGACAGAACAGGATTGACCGATGGTGGTTTCCATTCCTGAGATGGAATTTGTAATGACAAAGACTGGGATCGAATCATCTTGAAACTTTTCTTCCTATGAATTCAAAGTATAAAGCATAAAATAAGCCATAATATAAAACATTAAATACATTGGAAAACTGATTACAGCAAAGAAATCACCCCCTAAGAAATTTTACAAATGAAATCTCTCATAGCACAGGAAAAATCTTGCTCACAAAATATTTGTGCTTTTACCTTTTTTTCTGTTGACGTTTCACATGATATATGCTACACGCAATTGCACTTGCTCTCCACGCGAATACAATATACCATAATATGTATATAATCACTGTAAGATGCCCTAATGTTTGCTTTGTTTCTTACAAATTCACTTTCAGCAAGTCACTGTACAGAAGAAAAATGCGATCGCTGTGCTTACTTTAGGAGGACTTGATTCTTAGAGACTGGTAGCATCAGAATTCACAAAGTATCAGACAGAAACAAGTGAATGTTAGGTATGGTAAGTTGTTACAAGTTATCATGCTATTATACACATTACAGTATTTCTGTGGGCATGCTGCAAGCTTCACATGTTGATATGCGATCCTTTTGATATGTGATCCTGTTGTTTTCAGCCTAAAAGATTCTAATTAATGTCCACCTGTTTTCACAGTTGCTTTGAGAACACTATTGCTTTTATTCTAAAAGCAAATATAGTATGCAATGGTGACGAGAGGTATATTGGACCATAACATGGCAATTTAGTCATCATCTACATTATTTTGTGTTCTTATTTCGTATGAACCATTTCAC